AAACTCGAGCATAAATCTGAAACGTTTGCTTTTGAAATTGTAAAAAAAAGGATGGACAGAACATTAACTGGAAAAGAAATTACTTGTCCGTTTAGGTGCAACACGGTGAGCCACCCAAGAGGGCAGCACATGAAAGTCAGACCGAAACAGTGTCACCTCCAATGGCCTTTTGCTAATTCCAAGCATCCACCGCTAATGTACAGCACATAAGGGCGGAACTGGACACCATTCACCTATCCCCAATACTGCTGCCGTCACCCGCCTGGAGTGCGACGGTGCGACAGTACAAATGTTTAAATTTGGCGCGGTACATATGTGCCACTTTCAGCCATAATGTCACACTCCAGCCGGCTGACAGCAGCAGTAAATGAGAACGGTGGAATGCCTCTGGTTTCGCCTCTTCTATTGATGTTTTTTACGTGCCAGTTCCTTCTCAACGATTGAATTTTGCTGTCTTAGTTTTACGCTACCATCAGTTTATTAAGAAATCATCAATGTCGCAGTTAACTCTTTCGCGACAATGACGATTTCGTATTAACTTTGGCAGCTAAAACATTTTCAAGGTCACTGCTCAGTCGTTTAATATCGATGACGGTTTTGTTCAATGGCGTGCCGATATGCTTCCTGGACGAACCAACTCTCGTCAAGGAAGCACATTTACACGTCATCTAAGAGCTGCCGAGGCGTTCCCGGGTGGCACTGTGGAACTTCATTGTGGAGTGCACACAGAAATCATTCTGAACCCGTGTGTGCAACTCTACAATGAGGATCCACCAAGCTGAAAGCGTCTGTTAAAGCCACGGGACGTCTTATCGGCTACTTCCGGGAAGGACGGAGCCATGAAAAGGCAGCTTCGACTAGACTACGGAAATCCGGTCTTCGTGTCACTAGGAAGAAGTCTCTGCTGCGTCGTTAATTTTTCTTTCCCATCTGCACGAATACGGTAGAAGGCGCTTCAAGCGGAAGTTTTCGTATAATGCTAAGCAGGTGTTAAAAGTTCTCACCAAAACAAAGTTTAAAGAAATGGTTATTTCGTAGCCGTGTATGACTTCCGAAGCATAAACATCAAGAAATTTTCTTGAAAAAACAAAACGAATAATATCTGTCGGTTTAGCTGGAAGGTTGGTGTATGCAGTACTCTCTATTAACGCAAAGCTAGTTCAGTTTAAACCCATGATGGGAGGCATCTCGTTAAATACTGTTTTTAAATGTCGCTGCGGCCCATATTTGTGGGGCTGCTCTGTAGAGTTCTATCGCGTGCAGTTAGCCTTATCCACAAGATAATGCTTGGTAAACAGCGAAACGTACGAACATTACTGTAAATAACCAAGTAATGCGAGCACAGTGGGCCGAAGTATTCTATAATTTAAACTGCAGACTGGTAGTGCAGTTACCGCTGATCTTGTTGCACGGTTCAGCACGCTAACACTTACTGTAGCAAAACACTGTACGTATAACGTTTTACGTAATTCTGTTAATTCAGTAAGAACGCTGTTTTTTGCTGATGTGGCCACAACCGTGCACACGGCATCTGCGTTATTATAATTCTGCTCCCCTTTTCTCCTTAAGTGCTATCATTTCTAATAAAACGAAATTTGCAGAACTATTTATTTTTTTATGTGGAAACGTGATTTAGTAATTCATAAACATAATTTCAAAAAAGATAGAATGAGTACCAGGAACTGGAGCGTGTACACTGCAGAAGAATCGATTTTACACGTGCACAGTTAACAAAAATTTCTTTTTGTTTGATGCCTGTGCAAAGAGCAGTGAAAAGCAAAACAGAAAAGTAATTCATATAATCAGCATTTATTCATGTATCAGCGCGCTAGATGGGGGAAGGGTGTCAGTGACAGGTGAGCTACACAAGAAAATATAATTATAGTTCCCGGAAGATGAGAAAAGATTATAGTGTATTCACAATTTTATCGCGTCCAATTAAGCTGCACTGATACGTGACAATGAGGATCGGCTTTTGCAGGAACTGCAATCTGGACAGACTATCATGCCACTCTGCTGCGTAAATAATTTTATCAGTCAAACTAAACCTGTGCTTTCCGTTCCAGTTAACATAAGCTATTTCAGAATTCTAACAATACTTGTATGCGTAATTCAGCCGTTGCTGCATAGAATAGTTTGTAGCACCTTGTACCGTACAAGGTGCTACTTATCACTTGACACGTATGTACAAGTTGTACGTGTGAAGTGGAAAGCAGCGCACACAGCAGTGTAATCATATTATTAAAAGCGGCGCCGTCAAGTAAACAGAAAAGCAGCCATCTATCCTTTCCCGCCAGCAACCGCTGCATTTCTCTATTTATTCAGATAATGCGAGAAGATAATAAAGTTACGTTTACGCATCCAAGTTTTCCCGTAATTTCAATCATAAAGGTACGGATAAGAGATATTCAGCGTGAAAGCTGCACTGTGAACGATGGCCTCTACAATAATAAAACTACCCTTATGACAAATTCACCACCCTCAAGGTTCAAGATAATAAAGTATAAAGAAGAAAAGTTAATATTTTATAACTTGTATTGAAAGTTTACCAAAAAGATCTTCGGCTTCGCCTCTGTGTTTATTATAGTCTGCACTCTACGGTCGGTTCTTCCAAATGATTTCGATTAGTGTACGTATTAACCAACATCTTACTGCTTCGGTGAATCAAAAGGTTCAAAAATAGCGCTAAAGCGCAGACTGGGAGAATTTATCGCTTTGCTAGAGTCGGACAAATTCGTTTTGATATGAATTGGTAAAAGTTTCTTACGTCGGAAAGGAAGATTTACCCGAATGGTCTACCAGGCACTGAATTACATGTACATACAAACAACTCAAAGCGTGCTCGCAGTGGATACTGACTCCATTCCCTTGGGCAACTTTTAATTAGAAGTGATACATTCTTTTTAAGCAAAAAGGTCAATCCGTTTAGGATATCACAAAACTTTACTGGACAACCCAATTCTTTTGATTGTATCAGTCGTGCGACAGCCTTCGGTATACCAACGCTTGTATTAATTAGTCGCTGCCAATTCATTCACCTTTAAGAGACTGTATTAATAAAGCGAACAATTTTGAAACATCCACTTCGAGCAGGAATTTCTGTATTTTTTTCTGATCCTTTGTGTTGCAGTTTCACCTGAGGCAGTAAGTATGCTTTTATAGTACACATACGTCCGCTTGTACATTTACCGTACGATCATTCCCCTGGATTGGCTGGGCTAGTTTCAAGAAAGCGAATTTCCTTAATAATTATCTCACATGACAGCTTGTGTGTACACTTTACACCGGTACCGACTCTGAAAGAATTGTAATGAGATGTCAGCCGCTTGGAAATTTGCATTTGCGGCTGTTTATGCCACAAAAATTACTTCCCAAGCTTGTACAAAGACGAAATACGGAAGATTGGGCAGCAGTTAAAAACCAACATTTTAAATGGCGTTTTTCCCGCCGAACTGCTGCAGCGAAGGCATTTGTGAAAAGAAATTAAAAAATAACAGGATGGGCAAACTAGAGGGCGACGACAAGCCATCTAATGAAGCGACCGATGCCATCCGCCTCAGTTTACAGTGACCCTAGCGGCTGACCCATAACAAAATCGCACACGCAAATTGTACTTTGAATGTAGACTTTTCTTGTGGGATTTCAGATCGCCTATCTGTAATTACCATGTTCTGAGTAGCAACACGCTCATGTCTAAGCTGCAGCTGACTTTTAAACTTCTGGTAGTAGCGACACATTTACACTACATATCCGCTGTACTCCTGACGGAGTACTACTACAATTCATGTTGTTCATTTTGTGAGCTCACGTCTGCTTCTACGCGGACTCAATCCCAATTTTAAATCCGCTCTTCTGTACAAAAAAATTAGCAGATACGCTTCCAGTTCTATATGTGTTCAGATGCGGGCCGCACTTGTGTTCAGCTACCTGGAAGGAATATGAGCGTAACAATACTGATTTTGAAGTGTGCCGCACTTACTTGTTCTCACTTACCTCACTTAATATTTGCATCTCCCGTATCTCTTATATTTGCATCTCTCTTCGTTGCCCCAAATTTGAAGTTTCATTTCAAAAACAGTTTTGAAAACTATACCTCAAGCAACTGCATCGATTATTTGGCTTGAAAACAATGTGAAATACTTGCTCAAAATGTATTAAGAGTTATCAAATTTGAGACTGCACAGATTTGTTTCACCTGTTAATTTTTCTCCCAGTGCAGTTTCAACGTTTTCGGTGGGAGAGTTATTTCGTTGACCATTGCTGAACTTTTGAAACCACTATGACCAGAGTCAATTTCAAATTTGACGTTGTAAAACTTTGATTTGGATACAGCTGCTTCTCAAAGCAACGGAAAAAGATTCAGTTTGTAGTCCCCAGCGGTTTTTCTTTATGGGTGATGCTTGATTATCGTCCGGCATCGTACGGCCGTAAAAAAGCCCGGAATTCAGATATTGTATTATTCCAGATAACCAGATATTATATTATTCCAGATAACCAGCTAACCACATATTCTACATGTTTAATATAATTTCGAAAAAGAACGTTTGGCGGAACATGTAACATATTTTGCTGTATTGATTCGTCAGAAATTGTGCATGTCAGCATGTGTAAAATTTTAGATTAGTTATGGAGGAATAAGGATTGACCATAGTTCTGGTGTACCGACGTTAACAATCTTACGTGGTCTTTGTTATATGACCTATTGTATCTGGGTTGTATGCGCCATTTTTTCAAAAAGTACGAGTGAATAGCCCACAGGAGAGCACAGTTGCAGTAATAAATGGTGCATCACGACGCGCGGCATTAATTTTAGTTTACATAATTAGGAATAACAATTAGGAATAATAATTTACACAATTAGGAATTAGCACAGTTTGGTATTTATTTTGTGGTGTATTGGTGCGAATGTGCATTCATCGGCTAACGGTATACCAGTTCACTTTTCAAACTTGTCAGTTCGTTTTACAGGATTTATATTTTGTTTTCTATTAACTGCACCGTCTGCACGTAACAGATTGTAGAAATTTGCGCACATTCCGTTCCCTGATCCCAAAATAGTTACTTTTGCAGTATTTTGCTCAACGCTTGCACTAGTGCTTTTTATTTAGGTAACAAGGCATTTACGGAACAAAAATGAATTTTTCAGTGCTATGCAGAGAACTTAATGGTTACTGTAAACCGACGGATGCACTTCGGTTATTGTCGATAAATTCTCGGAATCTCTTCGCGGCAAGGTGCCATTCATTTCCAGCGTCCCGTTTGATTTCTTTGCAGCGCTTTTGGAAATCCGAAAGGAGTCGAGATGGATATGATTGCCGTGACTGTGATGCGAGCGTACGGAATTAGAGCGCATTTTATCGCCGGTTCCAATCACCGACACACGCCGTCCGTCTTTTAACACGCCCACTGACCGTGTGTCGCCGGGGCTGTCGTCGGCTTCCGGCTCGCTGATCACCAGTAAATATCCCACCTGTAAATTAACCGGTTTCGCTTTAACAGAAAAATTTGAGAAACCGATGAAACCTTACAAATCTGCGTGCTATAAACGTAGTAGTCATAAACTGAGTTTATTTACTCAGAAACTTATGTCCTCGTGTTCTTTTATGCGACAGATAGCCTCGAATGAAAGAAATTATAAGAAACCTTTGAAATCTGAGAAGTCTAAGTTTTACTTGTGTAAATTGTACCGAGACAAACAGAGCTTGTTTACTGGAATAGTTATGACTGTGTATTTCCGTTTAACGGCTTAATCCGTAGTACACAGGATTATAGAAGCATTCCGCAGCGATTTGCGCGGCACGACTATCCGTAAAACATATCACATTACCGGTACTGCAACCGATTAAAAAAAAGAGCACAAACTGTCCACTCATCACCATAATACCCATTGTATATTTGCGGTGTATACGCCGATCGGCAAAGTGCTGATGTTGCCAGCTGATATGTTTATCTTGGAGACACTGCATGGTTGCCGCCACGCGACCATATTTGCCGGCAGTGTCTCCTGTATGAATAGCAACAAGCAGCGACTGTTTGTGTAAGAACGCTTCTCATCAACCGCACCGTTTATCGGCTGCGATAATGAATGGACAAGAGACTGTCCTGGATGAACAATGAATTTCTGCTCGCGATTCGATTCCGCAGATAATCCCCTGGAATTTATTTATATGACAGGGACAAGTGACACTCACCTCGCCCATCTCAGCGAAATCCCCGCCCACCAGCTCGTCAATCTGGCTCTGGCGCAGACGGCATCCAGGGAGCTTATTGATTATAAAGAGCAGGAATAGGCTGACGAAAAACGACCAGATCGCCTGTAAAAAAAGCGGATGGTTCCGGTCAATTACCCGGTAGAATGTTTTCACTGTCAATACTGAGGCGGCGTATCGATATACTGCATATACAACAAGATAACCGCAACGCAGCACCTTACAAAGAAAAGGCGGACTGAATTCTCTGCAGAGCCGGCAGCGTGTTGACATATTTTTGAAGTGTTAGCAAAAATCCCATAGTTAATGAGTTTTACTATAAACACTTCAATGAACAGTCTTTAAATTTAACATGGGAAAACGTTAACACATCTGCGTTCAACGATATACTGTATATTAAAAATATTTCGGAAAAATGAACAATGTAAAATAAGTGTTGGAAAACTTTTTTTGAGAGTGCTGATTTTATTAACTTGGTAAAAATTTTTACAGTTTTACTAATATACTTCTAAAAATTTTTATGAACACGTTTTCAATTTTTAATACTTAATTGATTTAGGATCTTTTATTTTTTTTAAAAACTGAAAATTTTTAATAATACTGTAATCGAAAAATTAAAAGAATTTTTGCTGGCTGGCTTACGATAGCCGCGGACCCGGCAAACTGGTACCACATCTGTATCCAGTTCTGCTCCAGCCATCCACCATTAAACGGCTCCCCGTCCATTTCGCCAATCCATTTCTGAGCGAAAATCGCCGTCAACAAACTCCCCAAAAATCCACCGCTGCCGTGCACACTCCACGCATCAAAAGAGTCATCGAATCCGAAACGCTTCTTCAACCGGCACCACATGTTGCAGAAAAAGGCCGTCAGGATGCCGGTAACGACACCCGCCCAGGGCGCGACAAATCCGGATCCCGGGGTGACGCCCACGAGACCAGCTACCACACCGGAGCAAAACGAAAGCGCCGATAATTTCCGCGTCCACATGTAATCGAACCACGCCCACGTTAGACCGCCCGAGGCGGCCCCCAGGGTCGTAACGGCCGAGGCCATGGCGGCACGGGTATCGGCTGCACCTGAAGCGAGTAACTGCTGAAATAATTATTAAACTTCAGAAAATTACAGTTCATCTTATCAAACACCTAAATTTTTGACTTTATACTATTAATAATTATTACGCGCCAATTATGGTAGATTTGGTTTTTTAAAGTTATTTTGGTAGAAAGTATTTCATGTTTTTTAATATTTCTAGACTTATTTTATTGTTTATCTTGATTTATTTATCAAATTTTTTATACCATATGAATTTATTGGCGTTACCCAATTAGTTATATTAAGTAATTATTATCGAAATGGTTATTTAAAATAAATTATTAATTTGCTAAGCCAAACACGTTTCTCTGTGACGTGCTTTACAGTGAGGTTATTCTGCGTGCCATCGATTCGACTACTTTATATTAAAAATCAATAGGGAATTAGCCGATCGGGATTAGCATTTACGTGCGCGTCCTCATAATGCACGCACTTCTTTTTTTCGCTTCTGTAAGGCCACATTTCCCCACTCGGTTTTTGCCAACTTTGATTTCCGTTGCTGGCGCATCAACGGCCGTTTATTGTATTACTGGAAACTTCATCGTGTTGCTCGTATATTATTGAATTAACCGGCCTTGACAGGCAGTCCGACTACAGGGAAAACGTTTCCGCGAACAAATGGGAATTTTATATTACTCGGATTCCTTTAAATTATAAAGTATACTGTGGACAGAATAAGCACGGATTTTAGTACGAAAACAGGACCTGTGTCATCTTCCCATCGTGCCAACGTATTAAGCAAATCCCGGGAAAAATACGCGCCGGGAAATTAGAGGCCTAACTTCCGGCTTATCCCCTTAACCTTTAACTTGGCCGGGCGTCACTAACGATTACCGATACCGGCTCTACGCTCGGTGCGGTAATTACTGATTACCGTGTTACTCAAGGTCGCCTTATTACACCACAGAAGTGGGACAAAACTGGTACCCCTGGCTGCGCTCATGTGATCAACACATCCGCTAATTACACAGCGCTATTTTTATTAACGAAACAGACTAATCAACCGTTAATTTCCAACCAGCAGTTGTTTACCAACCCGGCGAAAACTGCTTGGCTGTGGATGTATGCTTCAATAATATAAGGACTAATCCCAATTATGCCGGTAATTTAGATTTTAGGGATATTAAAAAATAAATTAATGAACTGGTTAAATTTCCAATGGTCTAAATTTTTTTTATATTTGGAAGACATTTAAAAGAGGATATTATGGAGTATAGGATATTTTTAATATCCACATCTGCCTGCTCAGTTGCTTTTATTTTGCAAATGTATGCAAATTTCTCCGATAAGGGAAAATTTTAATGTACAATCCTTCAAAAATGTGACAGCGTTATAGCGAGTTTTGACTAAGGCAAAAAACTTCTTTTTACCTTCGGAGCCACCGTTAAATCCAAACCAGCCACACCACAACAACCCCGTCCCCAACATCACATTAACGAGACTATGATGCTCCTGGTGGATCTTCTTCCGCTTCCCGATCATAATACAGTACGCCAGCCCGGCGAACCCACTGGCCACGTGCACCGGTCCCCCGCCGGCAAAATCATACCCGCCCACCAGACACGGCTGCCGGCTCATATCTGTCAGCTGTCCCACACACGCCAGATTCCGTATCCACCCGCGTTTGGCCCACGACCAGTACGCCACCACATCGTACACCAGCGTCGTCCACGCAAATATAAACAGCATAGCCGGGACGAACCGGGTCCGTTCCGGTACGGACCCGAAAATCAGCGCGGCGGTGATGGCGGCGAACTGCATCTGGTACAGCATGAACGCGATGGAGGGGATGTTCGGCGAGGTACTGCTTAAGGGCTGGATGCCAAGGGTCCCCAGGGCTCCATCGCGGAAGTCCCCGATAAAGAGGCTCCCGGTCTCCGAGAAGGCCAGGGAGAAGCCGAAGAGGAAGAACTGGATGGAGACGATGGCGCAGGATAGCATGCACAACATCATTAAGGATAAAGCGTTGTTGTAGCGGGAGAGTCCGGAGTAGAAAAGGGACAATCCCGGGATCATCAGGAAGACGGAGGCTGACGACCAGATGGTGAAACCGATTGAGGGGGAACCGTCGTCGTGTACTCTGGTGGCATTAGCGGCGGTGATGGGGTCCATGATCGGGATTTAAATTTCCGGAAAAATCATATGAGGATTTTTTTCCCGGTGGCTGAAATGATAGATGAGACAGAGAAGGACTAAATAAATTAAAATTAGCCGCTTGGTCCGCAGTTGTCAGAGTTAATTATAAGATAAATAGCTGGGATACATTCAATGCGCAATCAGCATTTGGGTCGAACATTGAAGGTCCGGTTCACGCAGTATGCGTTAAGTTGAAGAGTTGAGAGAAGTATTCCTTAGTCCCACGTAATAAGCTATAAAATTTAAAAATTGTTATTACAGTTCTACAGTAGCAAAATTCAATCAAACTTAAAGTTGAAACTGAGCAGCGATTTGCCGGCAAGAGAGGATTAAAATATTCAGCTGCTGCTGTGTCGGATAAAATGCCCTGTTTGCATGTGTGTTCATGAAAGAATGGATGAGGTAGGCCGATTAAGTCTGCGGACTAAGAAAACACTCCGCCACTCGGCAGATGCGCACCCGGCCGGTGTAGCGTGATAGGTGTATTGATTTATTTACAAATACGCTGTATCGGCAGGTTTACATACCTCTTTATACCGGCGCGACGGTAGTTTTTAAGCCGGTTGATACATCAAAATACATTACTTGCCAGATGCCTCTGGTGTACGGAGAAAAGACCGAGGAATAATGATCTGCTGGTGAAAAGGCGCGGGAAAATGACTACCCACAGCTTTTCTCTTCTCTGGCGCAACACTAGGATCTCGAAATAGGTAAAACCTGTAAGTAAAAACCGTGAACAAAACGTACGAGACTACAAGTTTCTTAAATTAACCGTTGAAAAGTGACCGACATAAGCATAAGTAGTACGCAGATAAAATAATAATTAGTATAATTCCGTGGATACGCAGAGACTCGTACATACTCTATAGTTGATTGTTCTGTAATCTGTAGTAAAGATAATGAAAACACTTTCAGCAGAAATGTTGATACCAAAAATTATGTAAGAGCAGACAACAGAGATTTATTCAAATTACAGTAGGGTTTAACTACATTTCCCACTTCTTAATTAATTAGACGCTAGTCTCTACGCGCCTGCACTTTTGTAGCCAGTATTCTGACTGTTGTCGCCTCATAAAGGATCTCTTCCACTTAGAATCGACTTGGTTCCATGAACATGTCTTTGCTCTTCTTCCAAGACAAAACAAGATCGTCTCGCAGCTTCGTGTCCGCAAAGGAAACATATCGTGTTTGCCCTTTGCTATCGACCCGGTGGCCATTGCCATCTTTGTGCAAATACACCGCCCAGCCCGCATAGTGTTCATACAGTGTCTGTCCAGTTTGAAGGATATCCGCAGCACCAACTACCTTGTCGAGCGTGACGATTTCCACACCGCCTTCTTTGCACCATTTGAATGTCACCTCCCGATGATCGGCCGTGATAACCTTAGCTGGCAACCACCAACCAGAGGCAACGTTGTGGGCAAACACCTCCTGTCCAGGGCGAAACTCGGTTCGGCGCTCTGTAGGAAACTCCAGAAGCGGTTTAACCCGTGCATTTCGGTACATGAACAAGCTCAACAGCTCCACATCATTCAGCAGACCGCTCTGTCAGAGAGATTACATAGATCAAAACCGCGTGCGCAATACGAATACCGCTTGAAATCTGACATTAATTTACGACAATGAATTTACGCCAAAATCGACACTCCGGCTCCGCAGCTTCATCACCACTGTATCGACCTTAGCAGGACCATCGGCCAGTTGTGCATTGGTCAGAAGTGGAAAGCGGACCAGGGAGAGAACGAAACCCAGCATCTGCCGTCGATTAGCGGCTGAAACATTCATATCGTTGCGACCGCAAGCTGCCGCTGCCCATCTGCAACAAGACGCTCGTGTGTTAGCTGCGCACTTCTGACGCTCGGGTTTGGGCAATTCACAAAGCCCGATTTTCTTATGTTGCAGAACCAGGCATTAAATATACGGGTTTAAATACAGAAAAATCTGGCTTCCTTAGGAAGCAGAGTTATTCCTTGGTATGCTTATTAAAAATATGCACATTTTTATTTGCAACGACAAGCAAGAGGTCACAGAAAAATTAAAGAAGTTCATAACGGAACGCACTGTTACAATGCACTGACAGCGCAGGCTCTTCTGTTTTGTTCTTAAGTTGCGGGCATTAAGCAGCGAGTGAGAGGCCCGTGAACGTCACCAAATTACAACAAAAAGAACCCACGCATTCACTAGACAACACGCCTGCAAGGCGCACGTTGCACGTTCCTATGACCGAGGCATTACCATAGACCTTACAGAACATGTTACACTTTTATAAAGCATGTACTGTATCTTTCATTTGGAAGAGCTAAGTTTTTGGTTAACTGGCATGTGTTTCTTGCTTTAGCAAATACAAATATCATACTGTGCCAACGCCCATTTCTTAAAATCGCAAGTAGCCGCTATTGTTGCAATGTGGGCGCGAAAGATGCAAATTAGCATAATTCGACACGGTGCGCTATAACGGTAGTACGGTAGTTTTTGCCACGGTCTTAACGCACCTCTCCACGGCAGAATAGATGGCAAACTCCCCAGCAGACAGCGTATCACGCTGCATCATTATCTTTAGTGTGTCGTGAAAAATGGAAGTAAAGTGCGCCGACTGCAAAACCATTTCCGTATTCCCATCCACGAAATCCCAGCATTGGTTCACGATACCATCAGCATGCCAGTGGACAGCCTAAAGTACAACATCTTCCGTTGTGTTAATAACTTGTCCAGATAATCATACTATAAGAATTCAAAACACGCGTGGTAATAAGAATGCGTGGTAGCGTGTTACCCGTGGAGATCACACCTCTTCCAGTGTCCGCAGGCAGTTTTCGGCATTCAGTTGGTTAATCACGAAATCCGAACAGATCTTGACAAGTTGCGGCAAAGTCGTATTTGTCGGCACAGTTCATAGTGTGAAAGACGTTATCTGCACTGAGATTCGCCACTTTATCCGTATAAATGTAACTGCAACATGATACTCGTAAAAGATTTGAAATATTTTGCAGAAAGCAATGTCACACATATGCATTAAATGATACCACTTTATAATATCAGCACGGTATTTGACCAGTCGGAGAAAATTTAACTGATAGAATAACAGTTGCATAGTCGCCATAGTGTATAAATAAATTGCTCACACTCTTGAGATGATTGACCGTATTTATATGCGGTCAATCATTTATACCTGGCTGCACGCGTATATGTATATATGAAAATGTAAAAAATCATCCCTGGCACACCTGAGCAAATTGGCAAAAGCATCGGGAATGAAATGTGGTATGTCGATTGGAAGTTGGCAGTTTTCAGGCAAACTCCCGTAAAACATAGTCGCAAACACCGCGCTGCGAAGGCTAACGATATTCCTGCAAAATACGCCAGTATAACCGGGATACAACTGGTTGTCTTCTCAGCAGGCGTTTCAGTTACTTGTGAACTGCGAACGTTTTCACGGGCCCGAACTTCCGTCCCACAGTGAAGCGCACATCCCTGTATGTTCCGCTCTCAAGTGCTTCCTTCAAGTACTTGTTGATTTCTAATTCAGGCACTGCTGAGGTGCTTAGATCACTGGGATCAGTGAAGTCCATTTGTCTGTCGACACGGTTTGGTGAATTACCGACAGTAGCGAAACCAAAACAAGAATCAGATAAAAACAGCTTGTAACCAGCCTAGGTGAATAAAATCGAAATCTTTACTGTAATTACAGCCCTGGGCAGCCAAGTTGGGGCAGTTTCTTCCAAAAATTACTACGTGTCTGCTTTTAATAAATAATTAAATATTTATTTTTTACTTTATTGCCGAAGATGTCCGGCATCTTTTGAACTGCACGTCTCTATGTTTAGAACGTGCTTGAAATCGCAGTGAGTTAAAAACTCAGGCAGAGCAGCTAAAAAATACCGCTCAACTCGTATGCAGTGACGGTTCTCCTCGCACTTAATATTTTTTTAATATTCCAGTGAGGCCGTAGTGTTAAGGTGATAAACCATAGTCGTTCACCATCAAATTCCTCTAAGGAAGGTGCATAACAACAGTCGATTTCTGTCAAGCATCTATGACCCTTGCAGTGCGTCGGCGAGCACTGCTAAAATGAAGCACGACCTTATTTCCCAGCTCGCCGCGATAAAAATTATGAATGTGATTGAGTATGAATCTGTGTTAGTGATTAGCCCCATTAGCTTAAAGGTTGCTATTAGAACTAGACTGATTGCTAATTTAGTAATTACGATTTACGATTATTAATCAAAGTAAATACTATTAGTGTTTTATGTTACGATTATTATTATTAAACTATTATTAACAGTGTTGTTCAGGTTGCGTTACTGCGTAATTAAGTCTAATTACTTTAATTAATTACGCTGGGTAATTAGTTGAGTTACACTGAGGAAATGGAATTGCATTAATCAGTAAAGTTACCAATTATTTCTTAAACTAATGAATAATTACCATCAAGCATGCAGTTTAACATGTGTATGCGGCTCTGCATTACAATTCATTTGTGTTTCTGCAGAACGATTCACTTAGCAGTCAGTGCTAGCGTTTCATCCGCTGATTCACTGCTTATTACTGGTCCAACGCACTCTCATTTGTGCGTCATCCATCAATGACGCATACTGCTTTCACATTTTATTTCGCGATATCTTTCTCGAGAAGTTTAGCTAGGATTGATCGGGCCTATTGTGAATATTATCCATATCACGTACGCATTTTTGGGACCGCACTCACTGGCAAATAAATTAGTCATTCTTGGCAACTGAAAATATTCTGCGGTTACGGTTGAGCATACGTATAAAACTAAGAAGAATAACCCAGTCATTTTTGTTGATCATTGCACGACGTTTTGATCCAGCATTTACTGATCCGGTATCGAAGCACTTGTTAATGTAAACGAATTTAAAATAGCAGTACACGGTGTACGAGTGCGAATGCAAATCTCGCAGAACGCTTTGGCATATGCATGCCTAACAATTCTTGCGTTGCAGTGAAAGTATTAGGTAAAAAAAAATTGTTATAAAATAATAAAGAAACATCTTTTCAAAATTTTTTGTTCTTTTTCTTGAGGAAAACTGCATAGTTCGTGATGCTGTCCTCTGACGAAATAAAGAGACAATCGCTTTGCAACGCACTGATATCTAAAAGGTGCACAGAGCAGCGTCCACACTCCACACCTCTGCGCTGAATGGATCCAAGAGTCGTCGCAAAATTTCTCGAGGAATCCACCCAATCCTAATTCTGATCACACCAAAAAACTATTTTTTTTCAGTTTTTTACCATTCCAGTAATCCTTATTGCATTTATCGGTTTTTGCTGCAAACGGCGATGGCCTCTAATCAGTAATCATGGTGCAGTTATCGTTAATGACGTCGTTAATTAGGCTGCAGTTATCGTTAGTTATCGTTACCA